GTTAATACAGGACTGATAGCTGGGAAATGGCCTAAAGTGGGTACTCCCGTGATGTGTGTACCAGCCTAGGGTTAGGCCATAATTTTATTTCAATTTTAGTTCTATTACGAGTTCGGGGACTGTCCGTGTTAGCCAAGTGAATATACCACCTGTCCATAGGCTTCCATCCATCCCTTCACACAACTTGATGTAAAGTGGGCGAACAAAATTAGTTCCCTCCATACCTGAACACACCCTTCTCGACCGCCGAAAAAATGCCTAAATGCGCATAGTTAGCAGTGGTGAGATTGAGTGGATTCTAGCGAACCCCATTGTTAATTGTTTCAAGCGACCACAGCAAATAGGTAACGTTCACCGTGGCTGACAATATTTGTCGTTCCGAAAGTGTTGTGAGGTTATGTAATTTATGCGTGTAATGAAACATTTTCTAAAATGAGGAAACCCGCTGATAGTGGGTTCGATACAAAAGAGAATGCGTTCGAATTTCTTTCGAACCATCGTGAGATCAAAAAAAAATAATTTTATCGTGATTCCATTACGAGAAGATCCACGTAGGTTTTTATCTTACACCGGTTCCACCGGGTATTATACAAATTCTCTTCGTTAAAGTCCAACGATTTGCGTATTGATTTCAGTCTCGGACTCACATATTAACCCCGGGGGAGGGGCAATCAGAGATGCGGTGGCGGGCGTATTCCTAACGCTTAGCACGATGAGCCACACCGCCGAGCCGGTCTAGTCTAGTATGGATTGCATGCAATTGCGTGCAATCCAATGAATCTTAACATTATTATTTAACACATACTATAAGTATAAACCCTTGCCAATCTAATTTCGGCATGACTAAGCTTATAAACACACCTTTTGTACCGGAAGTATCACTGTTCTAAGATCCACATAAAACGGATAGTGGGTTCTTGTTCTGTGATAGCATAATACATTATTGATTGTAAGTCACGTTTGCATGTAGCTAATCTATATTTACGAGCTAATCCGTGTTAGTGGTAGTATTTTCCTATGACTCCGCGAGCGCCGAGACTGGGCTTCCACTATCCGCTCCCAACTCTCTAGTTAAAACGAGTAAAATCTTGGTTGTGTATTAGATTCTTCAGTTTAATTTAAAACGATAACGGTAAAATATAAAAGTCTCAGTAAAAGTAAGTATGACAGTAAAAGACTTAGTTTGAGGCAGAAGATTTTTGTTGCAGTTGAGGTGCGTGTCGCAAGAAAACGACCCGAAATCGTAACGCGTCACACGATCAAACAACGGGCGACGCGACCCGGACCTAGGTGTCGCTATTTATTTTATTTATGTCGCTATCAGGTTTTGACTGCGGTTCCATTGGAGAAGGGTGAAATTTGACAGCTGGGGGAGTCTTGAAGTCACAAAAGATAAGAAAAGCCGGTTTCAGGCGATCGGTTGATGCGTTGTAACTCGTAAGGATTTCCTTTGAATTCGATCGTAAAATACTTATTGGATCTTTAAATAACTCTATATGGTCTAGTATAGACGGGCTGAAGTGCTCTCCTTGTAGAATCAACACGAATATAGACGTGTGTTGCATAACTGTTTAGGAGGCTGCTCTCGAGTCGGCACATTGCGTAGTTTGGTAAAAAAAAATCGGCGCATCTTGTTAACATAAATCCTAAATTGTCATACCAGTCTTCAGGATTTTCCATAGCGCAAAGAGCATTTTTTAATATGCGATTCGCGCGTTTGACTATAAACTATTTATATGCGGCGACTAAGGAAGAGTTCTAGAATGGTCTGCGCCTAAGAAAATCATTGGATCTGCCCAAAGCTTGCACTCGAAATATTTCCCGCAATCTGTCTTGATCCTTTTTGGTGCTCCAAAATATGATATCCAGCCGAATGCAAATCCATTGGCAAAACTTGTCGGAAATATTGGACAATGGGATGCATTCTAATCAACGCGAGGAACGATCTACACACATCAGAATGTAGTTATAGTCTATGCTCAAACCAAGGGGATCTAATATATAAACGTTGACGGTGTTGAATCTATCGCATGGGACATTGATATTTGTCATCTGGGTATGACGTTGCACTTTTGAACGCTGGCGTTTAGCGCATTCACAAACCCATTGCCTAATGTTTTAGCCATTCTGGGCCACACGTAGTGTGCAGGGTTGCCATATTGTCTTTTTTAACGCCAAATTTGCCATTTTTGGCTTTGTTCAAACACCTTTGGCGTTAGAATTTCGTTTGGCTTTTTAGCTTTTTTAAGTCTCTTCTATTATTATTATTGTCTATTATTAAAATCATATGAAATACAATATTTAGTGTGTGACAATAGCCTATTGCTTATTAAGCTACTTAACATTTGGTTTTCCCCGAGCTTCGATTTCCTTGTCTGTTGCCTTAACGCTTGACCATAACAAATCAGAAATAATTGCAGTTTCTGCAGCTGCTCAGACAGATGTTCAAGCAGGGTTGTAAATATTGCCTCGTTTTTAGCTTTGACTGTTATTTGTCAGTTTTTAGTTCCGTTTCCAAAAAATAGTTGTATAACTTAATTGTCATTAAACTCAATATGTCTTCCCATGGGCTTTCGTTTAGTTTTAGTCTCACGAACGATGTCATTAACTAAAATTAGCAATCAGTAGTCCACCTGTAAGCGACACGTGGTTAGTTTATTTTTGTAATAAAAATGATGGTTTCAAAATGTTTAGAGAGAATGTTTTAAGGTATATCACATACTGAACCTTGTGTATATATTGAATTGTTGAATAATGCTATCCGCTTGATATTTTTTTTTAACTTTTTCATATAGATGTCAGCTTAACTGTATTATGTCGAATGTAGATTCTGGTGCTGCCATTCAATTAATCCTTTATACTTTTAAACCCTTCATCCCGCTGAAATGGAAATCGCCATGATAGCAACCGAAAATACAACTTTCAATGGGAAAGACATTACTGTGCTGAGGGCATCAAATCATGGGGCTTTTGTTTGCTTTTTCTGGTTGTTTTTTTCGTCTTGATTTGGCTATTTTGATCACTGGGATCTGGCAACCCTGGTAGTGTGATGAAATCAAATCAGTTGAGCCTTTGGCACCAGGATGTGCTAAACTCTGAATGTTGTCAAAGAGTTTCTTGCGTAAAGATTCGGGTACAAATGGCGTTAATCTATTGGCTGCTGATGTATCGAATGCTAAGCTAACGCTTAGTTTTGCGAATGGAACATCTACTAATTCGAGAGAATGGGATTTTTGAGATCCCTGTATTCCATCAGTTTTTGATTGTTCCTTTGAGCGGCATAAAGTTCATGCAAAGAAATTGACTGTGGAGGCTGAAAAAAGCTATCGACGTTAATGCTTGGATGAATTGAATTCATTTGAATACAAGATAATGTGTCAGTGACAGTATTAAGTCAGACTTTCAAATGTCTGACGTCATCAGTATATTCGGAAATTACTTCAAATGACGTGCCTGTCTAGAAATAAATCTTTCAGTAGGTTTTTTTTATGGCTTTACCTAAAGCATCTTTATCTTTCACAAGTTGAAATTTTTGATCTTGTAGCTGTATGCTAAAATGACGTCTGGCTGCTAAGAGTTCGCAATCAAATACCGGAGTAGTTGCTTTGTGTTAAATTGAGTAATTTTGAAAATAATTCTGGAGATGACCATTCGCCGCCAACACATTTCTGAAGGACGGCTCCCATTGCCACTTAGCTGACGTCGATTACTAAAGAGAGAGTTGCAGTATGGACGGACAGGCATTATTTCAGATGCTAGATCTGATTTTATCCTTTCGAATTATTGCAGTGTTATAGGCGTCTATTTGAGTGACTGTCGCTTGTTCTTACCCTGTGAAGCTAGATCATGCAGTGGTTTTGATAGCCGCACAATCCTTCACAATCGATGGTTGTAGCATACTAGACCGAGAAAGATCTGAGCTATTTTTAAGTATTTGAGAGATCCCTAGTCGATTGTCAATCAAGAAAAACGCCTCAAAAATCGGAATGCGTCACTCGACCAATCAACGGTCGACGCGACCCCGACCTAAGTGTCTCTATACACGTACCAAGTTGTTTCATGATGCTAGGATCACATACCTAAGCGGAACCGACGTGATTTGAGTCCTATCAGAAAAATCAAAATTCAAATTCGGAATAAATTCAAATTCGGAATAAATAGTTATGTTCTACTAGTTATTCAAAATGCCTTTGCATATTGGTATTGCACTACCAACCACTATTGCACGAGATTAGCTGATTCTTGCAATCTGAATACGTCCAAATTCATGACTTCTTTAAGCGCTATTGTTCTGTCAAATATGCTTACAATACATAACAGGCAAAACAATAGCTAAAATTCTGTATGTAAATACATGGTATAATGATATATCGATGAGGCAACACCACGTCATAATGCCCATGGTATTCAGCAAAGTTGCATTTTTTATATTAATATGTTGAATCTGGTAAAGTTCTGTTTGTAATGTCTTCTCGGTCTTATAGATGCATGTACTCAGGGTTGCGCCGTTGCTGTATTGTGCAATGTGTGTTGTATGAGAGTAAAATGCGAGGGTGGCTTACAATAGCTTTGATGCAAAAATCGGTGTCACTGTGGTATCTCTCTTGCTTGACGTGATCTCAATCGCATAGAGACATTGTCATAAAATTCGGTTCCAACAAGAATCATTGAGATTACACGACACACGAGAATCAATGCCATAATTGCGTCATTTCAGATAAGTATTTGTCTTTGATTGCTATACGCACGTCAGTTATTAGAGAATGTCATACAGTCTCCGAAACATTACACAAAACGCAATTGCTAGTATTATTTGAACTATGTATGACTGAAGAAATCTTCCCTTGGTCAGACGAAACGTTACATGAAATATACTTGTGTTAGTGTGCAGCAAAACTTTTGATTCACGTATGCCAGTATCATGATATGATGAATCACATCCAAGAACTAAAATAAGGAAAATCGAAATAAAATTATGACCTAACCCTAACCTAGTATATATACTACCGGAGTACCAAAATGTCTTTGTAAATGCTGAAGTACGTTGTTGTCTTTCTCTTACTTAGTATATATCAGTATAAATTTATTTCAATGGACAAACCATTGAAAAGTCGGAGAATGTGCTTGGCTTTTGTCATTTCTCTTATTTTTGCTTTTGTAAGTGTTCGTGGAGAGTTTTCGTATCAAGTATCCCCAGGAGTAAGGTCTGAAACTCGTAGCCCCGGTGAGTAATAAAAAAAATGATTTTTTACAAGATTATAGATTTCCGAAAAAAAAACGAGCAAATTAACACCTTTCAACATCCTAATTAGAATTTGAAACCGTGATTTTAATGCTTGATTTGAATTACCCATCAAACAAATTTTCTTTAAATTTTAATCAATCATACAAAATTATTTCAAGTATAATTTTATTCTAGAGTCTATGATACTACAACCTCCAAATGAAGACGATGATCAAGACGAGTTGGATAGCATGCAGAAAACACCTTGGTCGTATTCACAAGTTCTACGCCAAGAAGAACGATGCAGTGAAAAGAGTGAGTCTTAATTTCCATGACTTAAAATAACGAGGCCCTTTAAACCGTCCTTCAATTTGTAAACGTTTACTAAAATTCATTACCATAGATTTTCCACAGCATTAGGTTATGTGGAGTTTACTATGTAGTAAGGGTGGGCAAGCTTTTGGACCAGGAGTCAAAAATTTTTCCCACCTATTCTGACGGGCCCTGTAAGTGTGTAAGAAAAATTACATTTTATGAACAATATTTATAGTGTTACAAAGCAAAAATGGAAAACAATATGCTTCGTGCGAAAATTAAATTTACCCACAGTCTCAACAGATTCCCCGAGCTATTTTTAGCTAAAACATCAAATTTTGATTTCAGCTTGGTTGTGGCGGCATCAGGCGGGCCAGATTGAATTACCCATCCGGTCGGAATTGGCCCGCGGGCCGTACTTTGCCCATGTCTGCTATATAGCTATTAGCTGTTTTTTCTGATTGTATCGACATGAAATGCTTTAAAACTTGCGCCATTTCTATACCATGATGATTTACAGCAGCGTTTTTCAGCAATTTTTCATCACGACGCAATTGTTGAAATTAAAGGGAAATTTAATAATACAGAAAATATATAAATAAAATTGACAAATCATTCAATAAAACCGATGTGCTTGAATATTTTTGCACAAAAGATTGAGTCTTGGTTTTATTTTGGTGATATTGGGTTTCAGTACTGGTTCCGAATTTGATCAATATTTTGTTTCAACATAAGTTAGTGTCGAAAAAAATTTGGTGCACCCGAAGAATGTGCACCAAGATGGCGCACAACCTGAACTTAGTATGTGTACCAGGTTATGGTTATTGGGTTGCGCCATCTTGGTGCACGTACTTCAGGAGTACCGAAGATTTTGCCACGAAGCCCATTGTTTCTTTTTGCAACTCTGCTTTACAGGATCAGTAAGTAGCTTTTAGCATTTTAGGGTTTACTAATCTCTGAGATCAATCTCCTTTGTTCACTATTATTACTATTTGCTATATTCTTTAAGATTTACTGGCATGTTCCACTGACTGCGATCACTACAAGGTTCATAGGAAACATGGATGCTGTGAGTGTTTTTGTTCGAAAAATTACTTACTTGTTGGATCCACAGAATGTCATAGAGGTAAATGTATTCTAATTTGATTTTTAACGAAAAACAAGAGAAAGTAAAACTCTAAACATTTAAGTATCATTCATTCTGAAACAAGGGAGAAATGATGAAAAATATGGGCACGAAAGCCAAAACGAAGTAGTATTAAATATTTTCCAGTTGTTTTCAAAATAAAAAAACTCCTATCGCGGATCCGCCAAACGGCGCGCAATCGTTCATTTTGATGATGTCATCACACAGAACTTCGAAGTGGAAAACGAATCCTATAGAGCTCATAGAAATTTTCAAAATGAATGAAAGTGATAGTTAATGAGAAAGAGATTTTTTCCACCCCAACGAGAAGAGGAATACAAACAACAACAGAAACAATTTAACAAAATGATCCAAAATGTCTATTCCGTGTCCAGCGAAAAAACGTTTCCTTTTAATTCCATCGACGGAAGGCATCACGATTCCACGAATTCCAATATAAAACCTAGTTTATACAACTCTTTTTAGCATCTTGGTCAAAATGGAGTAGTTGGAGTGAATGTATAAAAACGAAATGGGGAGGATTGCAAACGAGAGAGCGAATATGTAAATCACGAGGACGAGAAGCTGCAGGGTCTTGTGCGGGGAGAGGAAGCATGTCGAGAACTTGCTCATCGGTTACTGGAGGTAGTAATATATTTAAAATCACTGACATTTAACTATAAACAATTGTCTTACAATTTGCCATTTTTGGTTTTGTTTTGCACCAGTAATACGACACAAAAGGATGTCGTTGTGCATCAGTTGCAACATATGAAAGTCAATATCTGTAACGGTTTCCGGATTCGCACCGTAATTGACTTTGCTAGATAAGCAAGCGACTACGACATTCTTTCAGCCTTTATGGCAAATATTGTGAAATTGTAATTTTACTAAAGAAATGATGTTTAAGATCAAAACAGAAAACCTGTCATAGGAAAAGTATGAATCATTTTGTTGCTAAGACTATAATGCTGCCAAATCGTATTGTAAGTGTTGACAAGTGGCGAACCCAGTCGTGGTCGTAGTGTAGTACAATGATTCAAATTAATTTTGTCCATTTTTGTTCGCTCTTTTCGCAAAAAACTTATTTTTTCATATAGACTTGGTACTTGATCTTGTACTGTTTTTCAAATAGCGTGACCAGAACCAAAAAAAAACGGCGCTCCAGAAGTGTGTGTACCAATATGGACGTAACTAATTTGTTCGCCTACTCCACATCAAGTTGTGTAAAGGGACTGAAACCTATGGGTATAAAATTATGACCTAACCCTAACCTGGTACACATACTACGGGAGTACCGAAATAACTATTGCTAATGTCATGTTCACGGTATTAATTTCATGTATCAGAGTTCCGAATCAGAAAGAATGTTCGTCATCTCACGAACGAGGACACGCATGACTTGATTCAAGCAATGACTAAGTTCAAAAAGGACAAGTCAAAGAAAGGATATATGGTACAAAGCATGTTTGAGTGACTCTTTGATTGACCTATGTATAACCCAATTCACTCGTATTAATTTATTAATTAAGTAATTATCTAAATCCACGTTTCCCAACTGGGAAGAAATTTTGTCGTTTTTGGAGAGGAATTTTGCTTCGTATTTGCTGTAGTACTGCAACTATTCTTTACTTATTTATTGTTATTACCCTAATACAGGTGTGCGATTTAAGCATAACACTAACCAAGTACCGATGAATAAATAACGAACTTTTTCTGGCGGGGGAGGAATAAAGAGTTCCAAAATAGGCGAATGGAGAACCACTGATATACATAAAAATTTTAATAAATGTATTTTTATTCATTAGGAAAAAAAGACTGAAAGCTAATTTTTTAATTCGTTAAATTCGAATTTTTCTTTGATTATTCTTTTCAGAACATCGCATCATGGCATGGATGGCCTGGACGTTGCCCCTGGTACAAGATGTATAAAGATCACGAGGATGGTCACTGTAGTTGGCATCATCACCCGTTATTTCTACCGTGGCACAGAATGATAATCGTACAGTTTGAACTGGGTGAGTTGTGCTTGCCTTTTAAGCTACAGTAAGATTATAACGTCTCTAGATGGGCCAGGGAAGGCTATTGTGAATCCACTCCATTTGATATCATAACAAATAACGGAGTGAGTATCTTCAATGTAGATGCAAAGCGGATTCCAATATTCGACTGTCACCGCGCTTTCGCCATTCATAAGTTCCGCGCATCTATGTGTCGTTCTAGTGGCGGTGTTGTGTAATTTCCCCCGAAACTGCGAGGATCGATTAGCGCAGTGATTCTCAAACTTTCATGTCTGAAGAGGCAAAGACTTTCAACACTCCGTGGCCCCCTGCTTTTCAATAAAAAAACAAGAGAGCAACGCTCAAATATATGGACACGCGGACTAGAGCGAAGCAGGGTTTACCTTTGATGTTACCGGTACCGTACCCTCAAATAGTTCCGGGTTTTCAGTCGCAAGAATTTTCACAGTCAGCCGTCACGCTTGGCGGATTAAAAACCGTGTTCCCATAATTAAAAATTAATACAGCGCAACGCAATGGATGAAATATTAGATCTCATAAGATTCATAGAAAATTCAGGAATAAATGAAAGTAATAGCCTTCTGGCAAAAAAATCAATCTTGAACCACTGAAAATTCCAAAACAATTGGTCCAGTATTCGAAGAGAAAAGCGATTTTTTAATGATAATGACGAAAGAAAATAACAATAACAACAAAATTTTGAAACGATCGTTATGGCCACTAAACGTGTCCAATAATAATTTTGTTTACGGGTTTTCAGTTATTTTTTATATTCTCTATTCTGAGACACACACTTCCAGTTCCTACCTTGAATATAATTGGCTTGGAATATCCAGAAAATGGCGCATATACCATATATATACTTAGTGGAGGAACGTTAAACTTTTTATTAGTACTGGTGACTAGGGCTAGGAAAGGTTTATCAGGTAACCCACTATTAGTTAATACTAACGGTTACGATTTTACTTGACCGTTGACTGACATTTCAGGTGATAATCACCTTTATATTTTACAATTTCTTCAAAAATGATTAGGTCATCAAAAAAGTATCACCCGTGTCGTTTAATTCATAAGGATATCACTAATTCAATTTGTAAACATCAAGTAAATGTGAATGAATAATTGAAGTACTGGTGTTGCTGATTATGAAAATTTGACAACAACAAGTTCAGAAATATTTTCCGGCCAGAATAAAATTTTCACGATTTGGTTTCAAGAGCGCTTGTTTAATGTTATTTAACAAATGCGCATTCTGTCTCCGGGATATTGTCATAGTCGACATTTTAGGGGAGTGGTGACGGGTAACCGGTTAGTTTTACCCGTGGTTAAAGTCCTACTGGAGATACACATTCCAGCATGTTCAGTAGCAAGCTAAGCTACGTTGCTTTTATTTATATGGGATGAAACATTTCGAATCACTCATATAGCTAATTATGTTTAATATTTTAATTTATAGGTCTTCAAAGATATTTGAAAAATAAAACACTCGGGATTCCGTTTTGGGATTGGACTGAAAAAGCTCTTGATATACCATACCTAATTCGTCTCCCTGAAATATATGATCCCATTCTAAAGAAGTACGTTCACAATCCATTCCATGGATCATTTATTCCTGGCACAAACCATACGTGAGTCTGAAAATTGAGATATTTTTATCATGATGACGAGTTAGCAGTTCATAGACATGACAGTCTTTTATATTTTTTCGAATCACTGATATGTAACGGGTTACTTTGGGCGCTCCAGGTGTGTGTTCACTAATATGGAGGTAACCAAGTTTGTCCGCCTACTTTATATCAAGTTGTGTAAATGGACTGAAACCTATGGGCAGGGGTATATTCACTTGGCTAACACAGACAGTCCCGGAACTCGTAATATAACTAAAATAATGAAAATCGGAATTAAATTTTATGGCATAATCCTAACCTGGTACACACACTACGGGAGTACCCTACTTAGTCATTAAAGGAACGTAATCTTTCCCGTTCCGCATTGTTTACCCAATTTATCACACCTTGGGTCAGTGGTCGGCAAACTTTGGGTACCACTGTGGCAAATATACACACTACGTTAGAGTGCGGGCAACATTATTCTCTTCTTATAAACAATAGCCATACTAGTCTCAAATTTTTATACACCGCAACTCCTAATCCTGTGTTAATTTAAACTTCCACATTCGTAAAGTAATCGACATACAACAGATATGTGCTCTCGCTTACGCTACTTACAACAAACATAATAAATTTATTGAGCGAATTTTGTTTTATGCATTTAAAGTAAAATTGTCCGGGGGCGATAAGAAACTTGTCCGTGGTCCGAATTTGGCCCATGTGACGCGGTTTGTCGGCCACTGCCTTGGGTGATGTGAACCTACGATGCCATAATAGTAAAGTCTAACTCTTCAAATAATACCCCACCACTTCCATTATCTGGATTTGACTACATGCTCAAACTTGACTGAGGGCGATGCTGGCAAATAGCTCTCGCTGCTGAACATTTTCTTGTTTACTGAGCAAGAGTTAACGGGTCCAAATCCTAGTTCCAGGCAGTATTACTATATACACACAAGCCATAATATGAACTGATTCCTTTCTCAGGTATACCCGGCGTCGAATATGGTATCCAGGGGTATTAATGGACAATTTTTTCCAAAGAGCAACAACCAGAGCTCTTTTGTCTCACGATTACTCTCATTTTGATAGAATTATTTCGTCTTATTCACATGATCAGGTGATGATATTTTGGTATCCCCGAAGTATGTGGACCAAGATGGCGGACACCGGAACGTAGTATGTGTACCAGGTTAGGCCATTATGGTACAAATACTACGGGAGTCACTTGACTAGTTCCCGAACTCGTAATAGAACTAAAATAAGGATCATTGGGATAGAATGATGACCTAACCCTAACCTGCTACACATACGACGTTCCGGTGTCTGCCATCTTGGTTCACCTACTTCGAAAGTACAGATATTTTATACAAACTACACGCACTGAAAGATGTAGTTGTGCATGGGAATACGTGTACATACAGGGTGTCCATAAAGTCGCTTTACAATTTTACTTCTCAATACATCTTGACCAGGTTTGTCGTTTTTTAACCAGTAATTGTTTGAGTATTTTTACTTCATTTAATACATACTTGTATGTGAGGGCCTAAACAATATATGATATCGATAAATTCCCTTTGCAATTGTAAATTTTTTTAAAACTTTATGAACACCCTATACGTTGGATACTGAAGCGTATTTAAATATGTTGGTCCATAATTTTGTAAATTGATAAGATTGAAAATATTAACATCAAATTTGTTGGTAATCGGTGTGTTCCAGCCATGACATCTTGCAATATAATATTCTATTTCAGATTCACAACTGCTTTTGTTACAAAGCTCCCAGAATAACGGACCCCAAAAACTGGTGCGACTATGGGATGCTTGCAACTGCTTTCTCAGCTTTTGATCCGACGTTTTTGCTACATCATAGTGCAATGGATCGCACGTTTGCAATGAGAAGACATCTAGAAAAAAATGCCCGGGTGTCAGACTGGACTTCGAGTCGGGTTACTTCACAGTTTTTGGCGGTGTGTATATGTTTATTCAGGTTTTATTTACTTGTATATGTAGATTCACTAATTACTAGTTGATATATAAAAAACGCAAAACATCTGAATAGTCAAGTCAAAAAATTCGGTACTCCCGAAGTATGTGAACAAAGTTGGCGGACACCGGAACGTATGCATGTGTACCAAGTTAGGCCATAATTCCAATTACAAATACTATGGGAGTCACTTGGCTAGTCCCCGAATTTGTAACAAAGCTAAAATGAGAAAAATTGAAAAAAAATTACGGCCTAACCCCAACCTGGTACACATACTACGTTCCAGTGTCCGCTACCTTGGTTCACATACTTCGGGACTACCAAAAATGCCGCATATGAACCCCTGCCAACGAAGAAGTTGCAGTAGTGAAAATCTATATTTCTCAAAAAATATGGAATATGCTAAAACAGCCATGTAAAACAATGCCAAATAATTAGGGTGTAATTCGAAAGTCCAAATGCGACAAAAACTGAAGGACACGGACTGGATAGCGCACGATTACAACTTGGCATATTTATCCATACAGATATATTCATGGCTACACCGCTGGGTGTCTTGTTAGGATTGGCGTAAAAAAGCATCTCAGGTTTCGTACGCCATTCGTGGACTGACCTATAAGTCGCGCGAAAACTGCGTCGCCGCCATCTCAGATTCAGACTTAGCCTATATGCCGAGTGATTACGTAAACAAACACTCATTAACGAAGGGAATTGCCGTCGAACACATTTATTATAATGTATTCCGGAAATTTTGTATATTTATCTAATACACTTTCCCAATGAGGAGGTACACACATTCATATTTGTGTAGATTCAAGTACATTGCCAATTAATTGATCTGCATATTATTCATACACAGGTATCTGTAAATATTTCAAACCCAAAGAAACATTCATTCGAGTGGCCGTTGGCACCATTTTGCAACAAAAGCATGAATCCTGAAACCACTACAAGCAAGAACAAAGTTTGGACTTTGCATAGAAGTTATTACAATGAACAAATGTTTGGTTATAAATACGCAGATTTTAATCTCGGCAAATATTCATGGAGAGATTTAAACATGGATTTCAAGTATAATAATTTGAAACGAAAATTTTGGATGGACGAGATTTTGGAAACTAAATTAGGAAATTTAGGCAAGAACTTTTGCGACCATCCTGTATTCGACAAATCGTCTTCTTGTTATTTCAGCTGTTAGATTTATATAAACTATGCTTAACAATTGTTTTATTTGGTTCTCGGGAAATTCGCCGTAGGAAATTTCGCCTCATAGGAAAAATCGCCCTATTTGAAAAAGATTCGTTATTTAAGAGCATACCCTAACCCAGGGTGGTCCAAACCCAGTCCCGCGGGCCACATTTGGCCCGCCACTCCATTATCTGTGGCCCGCGTCGCATTCGGAGAGGAATCAAAAAATCGCATTTCGTGTTGTTTCGTCATAAAATTAACCAAAAAATCTTTTGACATATTGTTGCATTACTAATGTCACTGAATTGACTATTGTTATGGCTTGCTGAGGCGACTAGCGAAGCTGAACGAGCAAAGTTTTTGGCACTATTGTGGCCCGCGAACAATGCAGAAGTAATTTTGTGGCTCGCGGAGCTGCCAATCTTGGACCACCCTGCCCTAACCTATAAATCTGACTGTTTTTTATCACAAATATATACATGTTTTACAGCAAAATGCTCTTGCGAATTTTTCTATACGACGAAATTTCCTGCGGCGAATTTTCCGGACACGGTTTTGGTTTTCTTTCTACGCGTATAGGTAGTCAGGGCTGGCATTGATGGCAAGTCTAGAATAGTATAGAAATGCTGAAATTCTGTTGATTAAATTGTCCTATGAAAGACTGCATTAGAACTAGCGCTAGGGACAACTCATTCCAGCAGCCAGATATGGGAGACCTGTGGCTGAATTGAATATGAAATGCTTTTCACTCAATATCGTTTCTGGCAAGATTGTCACTGATTCTCAATTTTACTAAGTTTCTAGCTGTAGTATTGTTTATATAGTTTTTTACCCAATTCACTTTACATCTTATTTATTAACCAGAATATATTTGAATTATATATATATCACACGTCTCGGTTTAGTTGGGACAGTCCTGATTTTTTATGTTTTCCCGCTGATTTGCAACTCGCTTTACTAGTTCGGATAAAGAAAGAAATTTTCATTTTGTTATGATATAAAATATGAAACATATATATACGTTAATTTCACACCAAACTGTACTGCTGTTAAATCATCAAAAATGCCAAAAAATAAAGTGCAAGTTTTCTATTGAGTTGAAGAAATATTTCCATTATTTGAAGCGAAGACCAACATTCGATGCCCGTGATTTACCGACAAAAGTATGTAAAAGCCTCGGAATCGAACCAAGGCTGGATTGTCACAAAGAGAATATGACAAATTATAGTCACTTTGAATTGACGTCTTTTTGCTTCAGACATAGGGTAAGCCTGATTATAAAAAATTTATATACAAGCTGGACCAGAAGTAAAATGGCAGTTGTTTTTAACAACTGTTACCTCACTTTCGCCCACCTTGCATAATGTTCACTACGATTTTTCTTTCGTCTTCACAAATACACAAAAAATGGACTGATGTTGTAGGGTTGTCAGATCCCAGAGATCAAAAATAGCCAGGTCAGCCAACAAAAAAGCCAACAATTTTACAAAATCCCGTCATTTGAGACAATAGTGCAAAAAATAGTTGCAAATTTAATAATTTAATTGTCATTATGCCTTCCGAGGACGTTTAGTTCCGAGGAGATAGTGGTTTAGTTGCAGTAATCAAAATTTAGTCTCGTTTTAAATCAGACAAATCTTGAGACTTTTGTACATAGTGAAATTGTTGGCTTTTTGTGTCCTAGCCTGGCTTTTATATTACTGAGTCTGGCATCCCTGGTCTGAGACTGCTGTCAGTGTCTAGTTTAGCTTTGCATATACTTTATGTCGTGATGAATCGAGTACTTATCGTATACTGTTCAATAAATGTCGTTCGTCCAACTGATAAATATTTGAATAATAAGAACGGCCCAATACTAATAAAAATAAATCTTCCAGATGATGGACCGGGTTTAGTGTGCTTCGTGTCGGTTCAACTTTGCAATAGGGCGATCGAACAAGATAGCGATGTTCAAATATATGAACAGCAAGGACCAATAACTGGCGCAGTACGGGCAGCCAGTTCAACTCACACTGATATACGCTATCTAATCATACAAATTGCAAAACAATACAATGTTTCAGCAACTAATAGAAAACTTTAAATTTACGTATCAGTTGAGATTGAAGTTGACTATCGTCAGTTCTGTGCTTTAGCTGCCCTAAAGCGGCAAAATCGGGAAGTCGCAACGCTTAGATCACTGACGGAGAAAAGAAGAGTATCTTGATGTTTTGTCGGAAACAGAAAGATATCATAGCGGTCGCACGTTTTCTCCAAAACATAGTCGAATGCAACCCGAGGAATCGAAAATAAGTATGCGTAGATAACAGAAATTCTTCCAGATTGATCGGAAACTACAGTTAGTCGATGCAATCTGGCTAAATGAATCTAACAAATTTGTAATTCTCGTTTTATAGAATTACATTTCTTTTAAATTTCTCTTTCTTCTAGATTTAGAGGTATTCGCCCACGATTTCTTCGCCTGCCTCATTTGTTCCGCCCCCCATATATATATATATACCCATTGTGAATATTTTCATAGTCTTGTGAGTATCAGATCAATAAAATTGAAGACATGTAATATATTTATTTATTTTTTTCATATTTACGTCCAATTTGCACAATCAAAACAGTGTTAATATATCGTCTCGTTTTAGCATGCCTTGCTAAAATAAGAGATAGAGATTTGATAATATCAATTCCGTATTAAAGTATTGTCCAAATAACTTCGAGGCAATTTCAAGATAACAAGATACTCCCTATGCAAGCAACGCCATGCGTATGCCATGAATCTGGCACAAGGGTGAAGCCCTGGGGTCTTCCTTGTTATTCCCTGTTTTCGGTAAATCTTACTATTACGTGATCATATTCAGGAGGAGTGGTAAATGCACTTCCACTCCACGCCAGCGATGACATAGTTACATTGAAGCCGAAATTATTCAAAAGCAGATTTTCCTGAAATAATAGAAAGCATATACAATATGTTTTAGTGAATGGTCAAATATTTTTGAGGTTTGCTAAAAACAAATCAGCCCAAAATACTCAATTGTAAAAGCCTTATTAATATCATGCGACATTTTCGATAAGAATATTGAAACCGCCACCGTATAAAAGCAGGAAAGACTTAATTATCTGAAGGTGGGTTCATCGCATTTAAATGAGACATTCCGTCTGGCGTTACCCAGCTACTATTTAAGAAAAATACATTTCACCGATGTATGACAGGTCATATGATATTACAAAGAAAGGCAACAAATTACTATTGTATAATCATAGCCTCCCGAAATACAGTACTTTATTATTTATTTTCAGGGCCAGGCTTATACAGTCTAGCTTGGGTAATATCGGTGCATTCGGTGGCACCTTAGATATCAATGGTGGCACACGCGAATAGCACCGAGCCAACCAAAAGAGTGAAACGTTTTTTAGGTTTGTTTCCTAAGTATACAACCTTGCGATCTTATTTCATTCCTGTCCATAATTCCACTGGATCTGCATTGATGATTTGAACAAGGAATATCGAAATAGCTTGTATATCGATAGCAAACTCTTCATTCGGAAAATCCGAAATCATCATGTGCATTTCATTGCAGAGGGCTTTAGCTGTATGATAGTCCATTACCGGTTTTTCTATACTATTCACTACCTCCTTCAAAGTTTGCCCCTTGACGTAGTTGACACCAACAGTAAGCTTCTTCAAACCTTAAATAATTGGAAGATAGAAAACGGTAAATCTTGAGGAAATGCGAAACCTGAATATTTTTATATCTAATATATATACTTCCTCTAGAATTATTATAAAGTTAACAGTCATTGAGGCAGTCGAACATAGTTTAAAATATGCATTACGAATTTTTTTTTTATCATGATATTCTGCACAATATTGTTCATTATTTGAATTGAATGGCCAGTATTCAAGCTATGACTCGTTGCGTTTGCCTAGATTCCTAGAACATTGGACGCAATACGCAATTTTATAAATTGTAGATGGCCGACAAGTCATCATTGAACCCCATCAAAATGTGTTGTTTTGGAAAATATTAAATAAGAAAACAGGGCAATTTTAGTTTACTGTGCAACACTAAAGAAAATGAAAACCCGAATTGTAGTGAAAAATGCCAGAAAGTCATCGGATATGAGTTTTCGCGCAAACAAGGATACATGCACGGCTAAAAAGTAGTGAAATCAGTGGTGCTTTCGGGCGTTTATTTGTAATGCAGTAGTTATTCATAAATGGCCTCATTTCATATACTTTTAATACAGCTTATTACCACAAGAGAATGGAATTAAACTTCTTCGCGTATTGGCGTGTTTTGATTGAGATTCATTTGCATAGGTCAGGGAATATTTAAACATATCAAAGTATATCATATAGGAAATAGCCATCATAGGAACTTGTACTCAAGAAGCGAATTTTGTAAAATCTCGCGACCCAAGAATATGCCCAAATACTAAACGGCATGTATTTCTTCTATGGCGCAAAATTGAATTCTTAATACAAAAAACAATCATCCCTACATAATATTTATTTTTGTATTATTTATTTTATCATTTCAACATTATTATTTGTTTGCATTAAAATAAATAAGTTTTTACGCTGTGATCACTATTGGGCAACAATTAAATAATACATACAGAATGAATAATAAAATTTATTAACAATGAAAAATATTTACTTTTCGGTTTTTGTTGAAATAACTAAGCAACCTGAATTTTTCAGACGCCCCAGCTTTCGGTCGGTTGCGAAACAATGGTTTTAGATATTCAACCTGCGACTACATAATTGTCAAGAATCACAGCATTCTTAATCTTTCTTTCTTCAAAAGTAGAAAGCAATATGGTATTACAACAAATTCATACTCGAAACTAGACAGTAACAAAATTAACCTGTTTCCGGTTAAAATAATGGAAGACATGTAATCATCCCATGCTTGACAAAAATGTCAGTATGCCAAAATATTAAAAATGTATCATTTTTTCAACAGATATAGAGCATTTACTATTCGTTCCTAGAAGGTTAATTCGATTACATTACTTGGTTCCCATTATTGCTTTCCTGTTTCAGTAAATGCCTTGCCATATTTGTAGAATCCGAGAAGAAATCGCTGTGCTGTTTTTTTTTGTCTAAGCCCCAATTAAAGTTCATGAACCACAAAATCCTCTTTTAAGGGAAGCTGCAGACGTTTGCGTATTCGAAATAAACATGTTCGAATTGAAAATTTCAGATTTAACCAAAGATAATATTCTGTCAAAGAATGTATAGATGGAAAATGGCGCTGGTCATGATTTTTAAGGCCGATTGTTTGTGGTAACGCAAACATGCTTATTTTATATTTCATACAACAGGTCAACAATGAATGATATTGCGATTTAAGTATGTGAAAAAAAATCAAAAAAGATAGCTTTGTAGTGGCTCCCAGTATTTCTGTGGTCGCCAGCTAAGTTGCTTGGAGATCTGTCTTATTTGCCAGTATGCGTGGCCTTACTTGCAGCTATAATGTTTTAAAGTTCAGGTTGAGCGCCATCGGCAGCGCCCAAAATTTTATTACTCTATATGTCAAAAAAATGAGACTTATATATTTTGAATCTCCCGGAATGAAATGCCTCAGTCATACCTAACCACGAATGTTTTATGTTTGTGAAAAAATCAACGACGGTCGCCAAAAAAGTTCTATTTTCTGTAAAGCAATACACGAAACGAATCATATGATATTCTATTTAGTTTCCGATGTGAACGACTAAAGTACGAAGGCGACATTGAAAAATTAAGTAACTTCTCCCACTAACTTTTAAGTTAAGTCACACATTTTTCCATATAATTAGAATATATTATTGGTCAAGAATTTTGATGGAGAAAATTTGGCGCTCCAGAAGTATGTGTACCAATATGGAGGTAACTAATTTTAAGCGCATACTTTACATCAAGTTGTGTGAAGAGACTGAAACTTATGTTATGGGGTATATATTCACTTTGCTAACACAGAAAGTCCCCGAACTGGTAATAGAACTGAAATATGGAAAATCGGAATAAAATTATGGCCTAATCCTAACCTGGTACTACGGGAGTACCGGGAATTGGACCAACACTCGCGACAGTATTGATACATTTTGTCTTTGATCGTTCAAGAGATTAGCGTCCTGGGAAAAAAGTTGAAATATATAATGACTAATCTTTCAAATCCACAAAAGTAGTATATATATGTACATAACGTGTCAATGAAATTTATATTTTTGTAAATTCCATGATTTTTATTCAATTCTTTTGCCTTCTCATCATACATAGCTTGTGTAATGTGGACAAAAGCTTAGTTTGTAAATTCCAACTGCTGGTTTAGGGGTTGCCATGGAAACAGCTAAAGTTCGTGCATTGTCATTTCCTCTACATTTTGATCTACAAATTGGACGATGAAATTGTGGACTAGTTGTCATTGCTATCGCCCATGGTTCGCCATATAAATCAAATTCCGCCTTCCGGGTCAAAGGTCGAATAAATGAGCCTTTTGGGTCAAAAAGAAGAAGTGATTTTGTGTTGCTATCCATAACTATAAGATTTTCGTTTTCGTCTGTACAAAGTCCTTGTGGAACTATGGATTTCTTGACTCTTGTATCAAAACCACTTGTATCGAAACACTTGATGTAGCGTTGATTGCGAGTGTCGAATACCTGAAACGGACGGAGATAGAAGCAAATGAATGTCAAAGATGGCAAATGGAAATTAATATTAATATTCAACTACAATTATTTAGGTTATTTGTAATTTCTCTATAAATTACTTTAGGATTCACAAAATTCATTTAAAAAACCTCAATTCCTTCTCCACTGAGTTCTTTGCTCATGTTGTGTATTTTTTATATAATAATAACTTTTTTATAATAATAACTTTTTCATAATAAACATCCAAGAAAGCTGAGAAACAATTTAAAGAGGTTCAACGATATGTAGAAGCAGAGTAGAGTAAAACAGCTTATGAAAGTTACTACTAACTTTAATACACTTGGAATTTCGATCTGAAATAAAAATTTCATCTTTGCTGTTCGATGTCAAAAACCAGGGAAGACGAATATGGTTGTTTCTGAAAAAGTGAAAATACTATTGTTACTGTTAAACAAAAAAAATGTTCCTGAATAAGTTTGACGTCTTATTGTCGTTTTACGTGCGTTCTAGACTTTAGTGATAGTGTACTTGCTAACCATTATTTTCTAGTTTTCTATGGTATATACCTTATTATAATCTTTTGTGTTGCTTTCAATGGATTCAATTCAACAATCTCAGGTCTCGATGCAAATTGCGACACAATTTTTCCTGACCTTTGATCCCATAACGTTACACATCTTCCTCGCATATCAGTAATGCAGGTTGTTGCCAGAAGTCCACACTGAAAACGAAACATTCCATTAAGTACAGTTTAAATCCCTTGGCATCTGGCTAGCGATATAGAGGAGATGATATGAATAATGCAATGTTGGATATGTTCCGCAAGATAATACCAAAATAACAAGAGAGTGATGGTCAAATATATGGACATGAAGTCCACAACAAAGTACTTTTCGTACTTGTTAATTGATCACCGAGTTTCGCGTAGAATCGCGTTAAATCAAAAATGTCCGTCACGCTTGGCCAATTAAAAACCGTGTTTCCGTGAAAAATAAAATATATCGAAATTTTGGCAAAATATCAGCTCTAATGTTTCTTTTGGCGAAATGAAACTTATAAAAGTCTGAATCAATACACACTAACGTTGAATACTGGCAGGCTAACGACAATAGACCTTATTCATTAAAAACCCATTGTACGTGCAAAAAAAAAGTGATGTAAAAAAATATTTTTTTAACATTAGCTCTTATGGGGAATGTGATCACCAGAGCAGAAATTTGCATTTTATGTAATTTTCTAGATATCTTTCATTGTATACGTGAGCAGTTTTGAGGATAGAATATTTTTTACATCTTTTTTGATATTTTTATTATGATAAACATGGTCAAGATTTTTAATAATCGTCCATTGAAATTTTAATGAGCGCGGTGTTTCCGATGACGTCATTCTCACTAGACCATGAGATTCTGCCAACGCGCCGTGCTCTGTGGGATATGTGCTCCAACTGCTTGTGATAACAGAATACTGGAATGCCGGTACCGGGACCACAACTGCCGTTCAACGAAAGACCTACTTTGGTTTTGATTGGATGTTATATATTTCATGAATTCCATGTACATTTCTGGTACACCTTTCAAAATCCAATGGCCTAACTCAGTTCATATGTTGACGGTACCTACCATGTACGGTACCTATCCCAAAATTGGTGATGTTCAGGGCTGGATTTAGACCATGAGAGGCCCCTTCATATTTTTGAGCTCAGAATTTCTCTATATACAACACCACATTTAATTGCTTAAAATTTAAAAATATGAAAGCATTAAACTTTTCATTCTCCCCATTCATGGGTGTGAATTTTTAATTAAAAGAATGATAATTTACTTGAGGCAGTTTTGCTTTCAATTTCTTTGATCAAACAACCGCTACAGCCATACTTTAACATAGAAACTTCCAGCAGAATGCGCATAATAATAATTTCCCTTATTATGATGCAAACGACGCAATAATGGCTGTTTACAATGTGGTTGAACTTGTTGTATACAGAATTTTCTACTCTGAAAAGCTTGATATATATATATATACTTTTTGTAGGGTTTGAACTTGTCATGGGATGATGGGATGATGGGGGTGGATGCTGACTGTGATGGTCGTATCGCTCCCCAATCTATACCGAATAACTGTGTGTTTTGTATATGATTTTTATTGATTCAATGCTTGTATTCTGGTTGACACAATAAATCTCCCTCTCGTATTCAGTCATGTTTTTTAACCTAGTTACGAGACCGGTATTGTACCATTATAGGTTGGAGATATTCATCTTTTTTGTATACCGGTACCGTACAACTTGCCTATTGGCAAGATGGCCAACATTTTTGTTCGTAGGCCTATTTCAGTATTTACTAAATAATTTAGTTTTCACCTCTTGCAGCCTTGGTACGTGGTACCGGTAGTTTAAATAACACGTTCAGCATGCCTTGCAGTAAATTATTGCTAGCTGTATAGGTATATAATTGCGTAAAACCAGTAAACAAACGTGATAGAAATGGTACGGGTTATAGATTGTCAATGTTAAACGCTTCCAGTACCGGACGGACACGGACCCAAAGCGACATTAGGGCCGCATTTGCAGCGCATATCCCACAGAGCACGGCGCGTTGGCAGAATCTCATGGTCTAGTGAGAATGACGTCATCGGAAACACCGCGCTCATTAAAATTTTAATGAACGATTATCAAAAATCTTGACCATGTTTATCATGATAAAAATATCAAAAAAGATGTAAAAAATATTATATTCTCAAAACTGCTCACGTATAAAATGAAAGATATCTAGAAAAGTACAAAAAATGCAAATTTCTGCTCTGGTGATCACATTTCCCATAAAAGCTAATGTTAAAAAAAAATTTTTTACATCACTTTTATTTTTTGCGCGTAGGATGGGTTTTTAATGAATAAGGTCTATTCGATAAGATTATGATCTATTTGTATATGTTTCCCACTCTTTTCATATCGTTGTGGATCCCTCGTGCAGCATCACCACTTATATAGATGTCATAATATACAATGACAGCCATTCAACTCTGGAATGAAGCGCAAATATGGAATACCAAGTTTTAATTGAATGTAAAACATCGTACATCGTACCTTCATGTGTGTGATATGGCAACAATTTTGTACGTCGTCACTAGTCATATTTGCGACTAATTTTCCTTCAGTAGACCAAATCGCAACTCCTCTGCCGGTACATGCTGCGATGTACGAGTCGTCATCTGAAGCCGGCGATACTCCGAACGTAGACGAACCTCTGCGTTCAACTTTACATACATATTAATCTTATATATCATGTCAATTTATCACAAGTAATAGGACAAATAGTGCAACAATTACAGAAATTCAGTGTAAATACAGTGAGATTAGACAGTGGTGCTTATTAATATCGATTCGCACAAATATAAAGATTTTTTGTCAAATGTATCCGTCTCTATTTAAGGTATAATAATCAAACGTGGAGCTGCCCAAGAAATCAAACTTTTGTCAAATATGGTAGCCCACTATGCCCTCTACGAAAAAAATCATTCAATTGACGATTCACCACTGTCACCAAACCATACACTTGATTTTTACATAGATAAGTTATATGCGGTCAATATTTAAGGGCGTGTGTCCCACATTGACATTTAGAAATGTTTTATTCCTACCTTCTGTCGGAAATGAGTTCAGCAACTTCCCTTTCTTGTCCAGAATCTGAATTCGACATTCTGGAAACTTGGGAGTTGCAAATTCCGACGTAACAAGGTTTTGCGATCGTGGGAGGAAACAGACTGCAGGAATGCTGTTAAAAGTGACTCCAGTATCTTTGGATAAACGAGATTTCTGAAAAAAAAAAAAAAATTAATATCTACGGGCAACTGTTTATGTCTCATCATTATAATATTTATATCTTAATATATTCCCTCACCTGGCAAGATTTCTTTGATTTAAATTTATCCCCCGGCAATCCCACACAATGCAACAACCAAGGTGCGATGTTCCGGTACTTCTTTTCAGCTGCACAATGTGGTGACGCTTCCATGGTAATTATTTAACTGAAGGTAATTTATTTTAGTCAGAAGTTTGCCCATAATTGTAATTTAGATGTGGAAGAGAGAAATGTCTCGAGGCATTGAGGATAAATGAGCAAGTCTGTTGTGAAGTGCAATTTCTCGAACCAATCGATGTAAAGGAAGATTACGCACAAGAAACTCGATCAATACCTAGTCCATCTTAAACCTACCGTGTCTGGCTTGTATCTGTGAGGCTTCTCGAAACTGTCGATCGCAGGTGCGCTCTAAGCACTGTTTGTAGCAATTTGCTAGCCTCAAGCCCTGTGCTTTTTTCGTGTAGTATGCATGGTTCTAGTCATACCACGTCTAGCACCCTGCCCACATTTCGAAGAAATAAGCAAGACGTGGTCTAAGAATATGCTGATACCAAGGAGTAATGAGTTTCATTATTGCATTATATGCCTGTTTGGTTTACAGATGCTGACAGTGAAATCAAAATGTCTGCCACTGCGATATTTTTGGTACTCCTAGCTGATCTACCCCTCGTTACCCATTCTGCATCTTCTCTGCTAATCATTGTACAAAAAGGGGCTTAGATTTACCTTGTTTGAGAAACTTCGATGAGCATTGTGAATTTGTTTAAAAATGAGACATGCCATTTTTATGTGTAAAGAACTCACTTCACTTCAACAATGCGACTACTAATAAACTTTCACAACCAAATGATCACATTACCCATACGTACCGTGTTAAGACACCTTTCTTTTGTTCTATTTTATTGGTTGTAATCTGAAACAGCTTTGTAAACATTCGCAAGCAAGCAGGAGAAAAGCGCAACCCCGAGCGGATAGGAACACAGTAGTTCTTTGTAACATATCGATAGAAGATTTTTTACTTAGTATTTCAGGGAAACTATATTTTTTGATGCAGCCCCGACAGACAACAAAGAAGAGAATTTATAAAACAATTATTTCATAAATAATCATCACGTTCATAATATTTCCGAAAACCACCAAAGGTAAAGGTCCATGAAAACTTAGCAGTCGTAAAAGCACACTGAATGTTTTCATTAATTGCTTCGTTAAGAGGAGAATTCGGCTGATCGCGCAACATATAACGTCGTGGTGCCTTAATGCGATCAGTCAGCTCTCGAATTTTTTAAACTTGTGAATTCCATATGATGCAACATAAGAGTAAGTAACTTTCTTAGCTACACAGAAGGATTCATTTTATTTCCTGGCCGATCTTGGCGCGAAACGCGGCCTTCCGTCCGGCTTCTATTCACTCCGACCGACCGTCGCCAAAACATTAATTTTTGTAGGACTGAGATATTAAAATATATTGTATCTTCGACTGCATCTTATGTTCTGATTGTTTGTTTTTGATACGCAGTGAGGCCGCTTGGCAATAGGTTGTGGCGCGGCGTAAGCTTCCCGAAATATAAACAAAATGGGTGAGATTTCGTGTACCTAAACCAGTGTTTCCCAACCCGAGTCCGCGGTCTCAAATGAGTCCGCAACGAGCCAGAAATTCACTGTGGGCCGCAAACGTTTTTGCGAAACTTATCCATCAGCCAAGTTACGATTTATGTTAAAATTTACATAAAACATAAAGAGCAAGTTCATTCACATAACATTAATCGAGACAATAATTACTGGATAATGAGTAGGACTGGGCATATATATATTCGAAAATTCAACTATTAGAATAGCAATTTACTATTAGAAAATTTGGTAACAGGTGAAGCGACAGGTCACTTGCGCGTCGCTTAATCAAACGATTGGATTTCATAACTCACTTGCGGATTCCCGACGAAAACACGAGTCGGCACACGCGTGGATAGCTAAGTGGCGTTTCTCGCGAACTCGAGCAGCGAGGAATAATTTTTTTTCTGGTGTCAATGGTGGCAACCTAAATTTTCCAAATGGAAAAGCGGAAATACAAAAAATAAAACGTAAAACACCATAAGTTTTGGTTTATGATGGTCCGACACCGATTAAAATCGCTTTTTAGACATTGCAAATCGCGAAATTTCGGGTGCTAACGTAGTATACGTATCACGGCATTTTCCCTTAGGATTCTTTGCTTTACTGCCTCCACATTGGTACGTACAGTACTGGAGCGCCGTGAGTGTTGTACGAACAGCTCAGATTTGTCGAATTCACAAAAATACGAATCGGAACAAAATATAATCGGGCACTTTACCACGCATTTTTGTGTCCACGGATTGTCATGATATTTTCTGATTAGTATTACTTTTATTTCGTCAACACAACCGCATATTATGATTAGGACTGGGCAAAATATTCGAATAACGAAACGAATATCAAAATATTCGAATGGCATTTTACTATTCGAATACCCGGTACCACGTGACCTGCGCCGCTTTTCTTTAACAGGAATTCGCGCGTCGCCAAATCAATCGTGAATTGCGCGAGAATTCACAAACGGCGCTCGCTAGCATACAAAAGCGACAAATTTTCTTTGCATTATGATGTACTTTGTTTTCTTTTCACGCCTAACGTATCGTTTCATTTCCTTATTTTGCAGAATAGGCCCCCACCGTTGCGTAAATTTATGAACGTTCTGTAAATTATAAACGTATGACGATGTATTTGAAATAAAATTTTTCAGATTTTGTACTCCGTATGCCTAGTGAAATGTTGTTAGCCATAGCTCCATCCTGGGACAAGTTATGTTTTAAAAATGTAAACATTTCACTCGACCATGCATTGCAAATATTACATGTGTTGTATTTTGAAGCGTTTTAGCGGTAAATAATTATGACGTGACACCATAAAAATCTCGAGTAAAGTGTTGAGTTTGCAAATTCCGTAAATAAAATTGTGAATTACTCGGTAACGATTTTAGCTATAAGAATCGTCGGGGTATTGTTTGGTTGAAAAATAAAAGTAGAAACTTGAGGGAATTAGTTATAATTAGCGTCTGAACCTATATCAGGCCCAAAAGCCTTATGATCATGTAGAAATTCCCAAGCGCACAGCCAGGATTTTCAAAAGGGGGGAGGTGGGGTTCAAAATCGAAAATTCCCATTGCCGTCTGTAACAGTCACCGCGATTACGCGCTCGTTAAAGAGACGTTTTTCTGCGTATATTGATTTTTCTGTTGCGTAAAATATTCATTCCATGACAACTACGAGATTCCAAAATGTCTTTATATATTAATTTGATTATGTCAAACGTAACTCGCGGTTGCTTCCTTTTAAGTCAAAATTAAAACATTACTACTATGAAATTCCACGACGATCTGTGGACATAAGAGTATGAGATAAACTGTCGGGTGTATTTAATTTTAATACGTGTTTTTGGAATCTTGCGAACTCGTTATCGCCGTTAGAAAAATCTCAATAACTGATATAAAATCCCGTAGAGCATAGGTTCTCAAAGTGCTCCGTATGGAGCCCCGGGGCTCCGCGAGAGAAACCCAGGGGCTCCGCGAGCTATTCGATTACTCTTCAAAATACTGACTAATTTTGTAACTGTTCAAAGAAGCAATAACAGATTTGATAAAATCTGACAACAATATAGCCTCGAAATAGGGCAAAGAGGCAGAATTAAAAAATGACATTATTTATAAGCAGTAGCACAGCCAGGATTCTTAAGAGGGAGGTGGTTCAAAATTGGAATCGGAAATTTCTGCGCAACATTCTTCGCGATTGAAAAAAAAGAAATACGAGATTTCTGTTGCTTAAAATATTCAATCCATGACCGATGGAGCATTTAACGTGTCTCGTCGTTATAATGTAATTGTGCTCATCGTTACTCACGTTTGATTCGAGATTACTATTAGGATTACTAAAATGAAAGAATACTATTCTAAAAAAACATAAAATATGTGATAAAATGCCAACTACAAATAAATTGGGGTCGTATTTTTGCGATATTGGGATTTGTCAAACTTGATTTGTTCTTTCGCACTTGAGATTATTTTTAAGCAAGATATCGCCGTTTAAAAAATCACAATGTCTGGGCAAAATACGAACAATAGAAAATTATTTTATTGCAATCAGCTCCGTCGGTAGTTTCAGAATGAAAAAAAGGTACATCGCCGATCGCGCGCACAATTGATTGCGTGCGGCTGCGTCGGTAGTTTCGGAATGAAAAAAAGGTACATCGCGCTCACAATTGACTGTGTTTCGATTTCGCAGTTACTACGATGAAAACCTAACATAACAACAAATTTTGTGATTTACAATGTCTATAAGAGCGTTTTCAATCAGAGGTGAGTCTGCTGAAACCAAACGTGTGATCTTCCATTTTAAGTTTCAGTTTTAATATTTTAGAATGCCGTTTTTCAATCAAGAAATTTGGGTTGTGGATTTACCTCTTTATTGATTATTATTTTTAGCATTTCGTCGCCGATGACTATAATATGGTAACATGTTTTTCACATTGAACTCATAATTCCCCACGAGAACAAAAAAGCAATTAACGTTGTCATTGTGTAACAATACCTGTATATTCCGAGGGAAATTTTTGATTTAGGGAGAACAGCTTTAGTATAAAATTTAGATTTATTTATAACTTGTGTTAACCCTATTAAAAAAGGTTCAGCATTTTGAAATAGGTAAAGTACTTTTAACTTGCTCAGGAATATTAATATGAAAGTAACAATTTTAACATTTATTTTGGGGCTCCGTGAATAATATTCAACCTTTCAAGGGCTCCGCAACATCAAAAGTTTGAGAAACCCTGCCGTAAAGTACAATTATATTTCGTACAATGAAAACACCTACAAAAGTATATCGTTTAATCAAAAATACATATTCATCGCCGCGATTAGGCCACTTGTTAAAAGAGCCGACTTTTACAATGAATGATGAGTTTTCTGTTGTGCAAAGTAATCAATTCGTGACCGATAAGGGAATATATAAAATGTCTTGCTTTATTATTGTCTTCAATTTAACCAGCGGTTGAATCGACAAAATAAAATCTTCACAATTTTAATACACCACGCCAATCTGCGGACATAAAGTGTGGTAAACTACCCGAATATATAAAGCTTTGATTTCCTTATTTTCCGGACTTGTAACATAAAAAATCCATAAATCTGCTGTAATGTAATATCTCGGGTTAAAATTTATTTTAGCACAATAAAAATGATTGAATATACATTAGATTGATCATCTTATATATATCATCACAACCCGGGAAAAATTGTCCCGTTTCAAACCTTGTATTATGTTGAAAAAAAAATTTTCGACGGCAATTTAAACTTAAAGTAATGGATAATAAGTCCAATCCCGCCCACAATTAACAGTGCTTCGATTTTAGTGACGATATGTTTTCTAAACGCCGACCAAACATAATGTGTGCGAGAGGCACACGAAATTTTCCGATTTTCAATGTCTAAAAAGGCGTTTTTAAACTGTCGCAGGCCTCAATAAAACTCATATTATTTACAGTTTTATTTTCAGTATTTTTTTATTGCCGCTTCTCAATCAAAAAATTTGCGTTGTCCTCAGAAACTCGCCGCCGATGAACGTATATTAATTAAACTATCGCCGGATTCGCAATTCCGTGTGTGTACAAAAATAAAATAATTATCATCGTTAACGTCGCACAACGTTGTGGAAAATTTTTGATTCAGATTTAGAGAAAATAAAACTAACATAAAGTTGTTTACGGCTTAAATACCACGTCACGCTGATAATAACAATCGGCGATTACAGCAAAATGCTATTGCACGCGTTATTGGCGACTTTTTCAGTTTTAAAAAAATTTCAACGGCAACGCACGGGTATACCTAATATATAAATCTTCGATGTCCGCCGACCCGCAAAAATTAATACTTTCAAAAAATGAATCGGGCGGGAATACAGATTACGAACTTTAGGATCGCGGCGACAAAAACAATTAGCGATTTTGATGAATTTAACCAGTAAAAAAAACGCTTTGTTGCCGACTTTTCAAAGTTTCTTCTAATTTTCGAAGGGAGTATCGACCTCCGACGGACCCCCGTTGTATTTTTAAAAAATATTCGATTTTGCCCACCCCTAATTATAATGATCACAATTAAATCAATATTAAAGCAAGGCAATGAATAGTTTTTTTGATTTACTAATATACTTTAATTACGTTTTTAATAAGTACTAAATCAAGTTGTACTTTCTGGAAATTTATAGCAGATAACAAATTCTCAAGATCGCAAAAAATATTTAACAAAACTAAATATAATCGGGCCATATATTCTCACATTAATATGTTCGCCAATTTTCGTGGCATTTTAAAAAAGTAATGCTTTCATCTTTCAAGTCGACGCAACCGCGAGCCATGAACACAATTAAATTAAAATAGAAAGACATTTTAAATTTTCGTCGTTATCATGGATTGAATATTGTGCGACACAAAAGGCCATTTATACACTAAAAAAGTCGGCTCTTTTGACAAACGCGTAATTGCGGCGAATTTCCAATTTTGAAATTCGTTAAAATTCTTTTGTGCTTGGTTTTATTACTTCTTCACACAGGATACGGTTGCAATAAACGCACGTTGAGTCCGCAAAGGTTTTTGCCGGTGAGAAAATAGTCCGCGACCAAAAAAGGTTGGGAAACGCTGACCTAAACAATGAATCGCAAGGAGCATTGCAAAATATTTTGTGTTGCGCAGTCTGTCAGTTGAACACCTTTGAAGCAGCGCCAGTAAAAAGTATTCTTGTTAAATTGTTATTGACTGTTGGTGATTATCAAATGGAACTAATATGGATGTGGGAGCTTTTTGAAGTTGATTGTTTTCGTATATATATATACTTTCCTCACGTATATTTGATTCCTAATACTAACTGCAACATGTCTTGCTACTAGAAATGTAGTCGGACAATAATACAACACAACAATTAATTTCCACCACAGGCATAAGCAGTTTCGATATATTAAAGTCGATGCATGAAAAAAACTTAAACAAACGCTGACGTGACGAAAAGCTACTTTTGCCTTGTACTTGGTTTCAATACACAAGAGTTCTTTCATTTAGTTTTATAAAATACTATATTTTTATAGCATTAATTTATTGTTGTTAAATAAAATAAGGTGATAGACAGATCTGTATTTTCTCGATCGATCTATTTGATTACAATCCAAATACGAAACGTTAGTCTGATACGGCTGAAGTTTTTTTTTTTTACCAAGAAAAGCACTTCGTTGAACGGAATCGTCAGTTAATAAATATAAACCAATAAAGCAACTATGCAGGAATGGGTTGCGGTATATAACAATTGCCGCCTATCTAGCCAATAGTTAAACGATAAACAGGTAAAGTAGATGAGCAAATTTAATATGTTCCATGTTCTTGCCGAAGAGACCTTGACCAATAATACAAGTCAGTGAACCACTGTCCACTAGCGGTAATACACAAGAGCTAAAGTAGCTCCAGAATTTGAAAAGGGGTACACACTATATTGGAACTGTCTTTGAGCGCCAGTAACTAATACGTTTCGAAGCAATTTAATTTTTTTTTTTTACCTTACTATGAATTTAATTCTCTTGCCTACCTCTGATTATTTTGTACTATCAAAAAAATGAAGTCACAATTAACCAATTTTCTTGTGAATCGGATAGATTGTGAATATGAGTATAAGAGAGAGAGAGAGATTTATTATACCGTCAGCCAAAAATACAGTCATCAATAAAGGACAACAGCAATAAAATTGTTTTGGTATGGAAAGGAGGGCGCGATACGACCATACGGTCATCGAGATCAGCTCCCACCATATACGCTGATATGATTAGGATTACCATTGAAAGATGACCAGTGCCAAATTTGGGGATTCTTAAGTAACTTCAATGTAATACATGCGTGGTACTTTTGGTGGAAATTGATACTAAATTAGTTGAAAACGAAATGTTTTAACTAATTTTGATGGGTTTTAAAGTTTAAACGATATTAACTTTCAAAATATATGTGAAAAAAAAAATAAAATACGGTTTTAAACTACTAAAAATGTCTATTAAATATATTTTTCCGTCTAATTAAGTTGTGATCAGCAAAAAGTCAGTTTCAATTACTCTTGATTCCAGTTCGTTTCATCACATGTTGAAGCATGAAACTTTGCTGATATTCCCACATCATGAAGAACATTCACGAAAGCTGCAATCTGTGACAAAGTTGGATTTGGGCTCGGAAAATATCCCCAAATCATTTGGTGTGCTGAAATGTATAATTGTTGATATGTATGATGTTTCTAGGTAATTTGATACAGCAAACTCACTAGCTAAATCAACTTAGTTTATTTAATAGTTATAAGCGGCAGTGGTTTCAGGAATTTGCGCGAACTCCACAATCAACAAACCCGTTCTTGTTTTTTTGTTTTGTTTCAGACGTTAGACGACCACGACAAATGGATTGCGTGCATCACCACTGAGGACTAGTGTTATATTTTAAGTTCCGAAAGTTATGTATTAGATTTGTAGTTCTTCCGCGCCAGCATACATTTTCTAAAATGATGAAACCTATGGTCGGTGAGTTCGGTACAACAAAGAACCTTGTTCTTCACACTTTGAATCCCATCGCTGTCTAAAATCTATTATTTTTTTTACCTTCATCAGCTAATCCATTTGGTGGACAAACAAAAACCGCGAGATAATTTTCATAATCGGAAAGAAAAGCAGGATGTCCATCGGCAAGAAAGTGATCTGTTAAAATTGAATGCAGATAATTAGTTTATTAGAGACCAACAGTGTAAGACTAATGCCAACAACTTTTCAATTTTTATATTTTTTTATGAAGAGTTAACTGGCTTACCCATATCCAATACTGCTTGGTTATAAATCCCATGCATAGATCGTAAATGCTCGAGGTGATTGATCTCTGCAAATAGAAAGTTTGCGTTAAAGGGTTTGAAACATGATCTTCAAAAGGAAACAATACAGTGGCTAATAACCTATATAATGTAAATTAGTGAGTTTTCGTAAAACAACATACCTTTATTTGATTTGTCCATATAATAAATTCCGTTTCTACCTAAGGTGAAACGAAGATCATATTCAACAAACCTAAAGAGAACCACAACACAATTAAATAAATAAATCAGGAAAAACTACGAGATTCAGATATTTTATTTCGTCATTCAAGTATCATCAGAAAGCAAGAGAAAAACGTGGTAAACTACTAAAACGGGAGACATTGATTAACAATTGACGCGGGGTCGCGAAATCTTAATGAGTCATGCAGTCAGCAACACCTTGCCCGCCACCTGTATTACAGCAGCAAATTTATCAATGAAGCAATAGGATAAAAATTATCTTCAAAATACACAAATCATGGAAAAACAATAGATTCGAAATAACCCAGACTATGAGAACTGTCATCAAGATTCATCCAAAAATATAGGTACAAAATATATTATTTATCGGCATACTTTACCTGAGACCTCGTTCCTTCAGAACCACATCAAATCCTGATTCTGTAGTGGCGAAGTTGTTTAACCTGGCACAAGAGATAATGGAAGCTGCAATATCATTGGTCTGTAGTCCCGTATACCACGTCATTTCCGAAAGCTTTCAAATTCAATCGATAAAAACAAATCTGTGACACATGCATGGCCTCGCCCCGATGCTTCGATAGGCGCCGCGCTACGTTTAAGATTGAATTAATATTTCAAAAACTATAACCATGTATGAGTCAGCGTGTTAATTCTGTACTTGCAAGACGCGTAAAGTTACTTTAATCGTGATTTAGTACTCAGTTAAAAGGTAATAAAGTGTAAACACGGAAACATTTTATACTACATAATCTTAATTTTTATTTATTACCTTATTTCAACCCAGACTAGGCCCCGCTCATTCGTTCTTATAGGGCCCGTATTACATAATACCGACGCTGTCACATGCCCACCTTCTCAACGTCAATCTTTGTTTTCGTTTCAGGAAGGTAACATCTCTGTAATTCAGATGCAGTCGATAATAATGCATTTGATGACGTTAATATGAATATCAAAACCCTTGTCAACATATTGATATAACCCGAAACAATTTCTGCTATAAATATGTATATATCTATATACACATAAGTTTATAAATATATAAAGTGCTTGGTAAAAAATCTCGACCGTATCAGAATAATGTTTCGTATTTGGATTGTAATCAAATAGATCGATAAATGTCGATGAGTAAATCCCCTTATTTTATGTAACCACAATAAATTAAAACTATAAGATTTAGCCTTTCATGAAACTAAAGAAAAGAACTGGTGTGTATTGAAACCAACTACAAGGCAAAAGTAGCTTTCCGTCACGTTAGCGATTGCATCAATACATCCGGACTGAACTGCTTATGCCTGTGGTGGAAATTAATTGTTTTGTTGTATAAGTATTATTGTCCGACTACATTTCTAATAGCAACACAGGTTGCAGTTAGTAATAGGAATCAAATATACGTACGTCAGACACAAACACTCAGTATATATGGCGGTAGCTGTGAACGTTTTTAATGAAGGACAATGATTAAATAGCCAATGACTATATCTATTCCATGCGGTGTCGACCATATCCAATAATGCTCCTCATTTCCGCAAATACGCTAAAAAAAGTAATTCCTCGGAATTAGGCGACGACGATTTGGTACCTACTCGAACATATTTTAAACGAACTGTATTACTTGCGTAAAATTTTGTCATACCATTTTTTATTGAAAACCGCTAAAAATAACACTGTAAGTAGCTCACTATATGCCACAGGAAACGAGTAGCCCAACTGCAGCAAAAACTAGCACGTAACCACAATGCAGCAGCAAATAGATAAATATATATATGAAAACAGGAAATTTAAAAAAGCTCCCACATCTATATTAGTCCCATCTGATAATCACCAACAGTCAATAACAATTTAAGAAGAATACTTTTCACTAGAGCTCGACCGATATATCGGGCCGATATTGCTTGTTTGCCGATATATCGACCATACTCGGCAATGATGTCACTTTTGAATTTGTGACCTCCCCAAATTCAATTTTGAATTTCTGGGGTAACAGTTTTGTCTATATTGATGGTTGTTTATCATTTTGCTGAAAATTACAAAATAAAAACTTCCATTATTATTGACTAAATAAGGTATTGATAGTCTCTGGAAACAAAGTTAATAAAAATTTCACATGCTATCACAATATCGAAGGAATTTATCATTATCACGATTCACTTTCAAATACCTATATCAATTATAATTTTTTAATGACCCTAACCTATGCCCATAGTTATATTCAAAAACGTCTGATTAACAACTCTTTTTTTCCTGGAAATATCTAGACTGATATTGAAGTAGCAGGAAAAGTTACAGAATAACATTTGTTCGAGCATTAACTGGAGTTAGTTAAAGAAAAGTCTTACTGCCATGATAATAAATATCTAAATGAAACTACAGACTCGCAAGGTGCATCATAAAAGCGTGGCTCAAAATATGATTTATATTAATATCGGCATAGCGATATCGGTTATCGGCGTCAAAAAGTGATATCGGTCGAGCTCTACTTTTCACTGGCGCTACTTCAAAGGTGTTCAACTGAGTAATTGAGCAACAAAAGATATTTTGCAACGCTCCTTGCATAGCGATTTACTGTTTATGTACATGGAGCCTCTACGTTCTTTGTTTATATTCAGGGTAGCTCACGCCGCTCTACAATCAATCGCCAATCGGCCTCAGTGCGTATCAAAAACAAATTCTCAGAACATAAGATGCGGTCGAAGATACAATATATTTCAATATCTCAATCCTGCCCAGTCCTACAAAAATTAAAGTTCTGGCGACGGTCAGTCTGAGTAAATAGCGGATGGAAGCCGGACGGAAGACCGCGTTTCGCGCCAAGATCGGCCTGTAAATAAAACGAATAATCCTTCTATGTGGCTAAGAAAGTTATTTACTCTCATGCTGCGTCATATGGAATTAACAACTTGAAAAAATTGCAAGCTAACTGATCGCATTCACGCACCACAACGTCATGTGTTGCGCAATCAGCTGAATTCTCCAATTAATGAAAACATTCAGTGTGCTTTAATGACTGCTAAGTTTTCATGGACCTTTACTTTTGGTGGTTTTCGGAAATAATATGAACGTGATGATTGTTTATGAAATAATTGGTTTATAAATTCTCTTCTTTGTTGTCTGTCGGGGCTGCATCAAAAAATATATTTTTCCTGAAATGCTAAGTGAAATATCTTCTATCGATATGTTACAAAGAACCACTGTGACCGCTCGGGTTGCGCCTTTCTCCTGCTTGCTTGCGAAGTTTACAAAACTGTTTCAGATGACAACCAATAAAATAGAACAAAAGAAAGGTGTCTTAACATGGTACGTATGGGTAATGTGATCATTTGGTTGTGAAAGTTTATTAGTAGTCGCATTGTTGAAGTGAAGTGAGTTTTTTACACAAAAAAATTGCATGTCTCATTTTTAAACAAATTCACAATGCTCATCGAAGTTTTCAAGATTTCTCAAACAAGGTAAATCTAAGCCATTTTTTTTGTATAATGATTAGCAGAGAAGATGCAGAATGGGTAGCGAGGGGTAGGTCAGCAAGGAGTACCAAAAATATCGCAGTTGCAGACAGGTAATTCTTATTATTTTGATTTCACTGTCAGCATCTGTAAACCAAACAGGCATATAAAGCAATAATGAAACTCAATACTCCTTGGTATCAGCATCTTCTTAGACCACGTCTTCTCCGAATTGTGGGCAGGGTGCTAGACGTGGTTTGACTAGAACCATGATATACCGGGATTGAGGCAAGCAAATTGCTACAAACAGTGCTTAAAGCGCACCTGCGACCGACAGTTTCGAGAAGCCTCACAGATACAAGCCAGACACGGTAGGTTTAGGATGGATTCAGTGATACCAGGTATTGACCGAGTTTTTTGTGTGTAATCTTCCTTTACATCGATTGGTTCGAGAAATTGCACTTCATAACGGACTTTTCTCTCTTCCACATCTAAACTACAATTATGGACAAATTTTTGCCTAAAATAAATTACCTTCAGTTAAATAATTATCATGGAAGTGTCACCACATTGTGCAGCAGATAAGAAGTACCGGAACATCGCACCTTGGTTGTTGCATTGTGATCGGTTTGGTGAATATCTGTGGCACACACTCCCTGACTTCAATCAGCCAGTAGCCTATTTGTTGTGCTAGGAATCCTTCTGATAAGTCAACGATGGGAGCTTGCCTTCTGGGTTTGGATACGCTTAACCTGACTGCCGCTGAAATTCCAATGCACTAAACCAGACACAGTTCCGAATCGAATTTGTTTTATTTTACCACTCAACATAAAGTGCTATTGTGGCCACTCGTGTAAGGTCAGGTGATTTAAAAATAGTTTGGACTGCAACGCATCCAAATCCTACTTAATCAGATATACATATGTAACTAAATACAAAAATAAATACAGTTTTAGGTACAATCCTAATAACTTAATCGCTATTTCAACACATGTCTACATAAAACACAACCCTAAGTTCCCTAAAATACAACCCTAAGTTATTATTAAATCTGCAACAAAAAACGTGCGGCCCTTTTACCAGTGCTGATAAACCAAGAGACTGTCGCAACAACAGGTTGCCACAATATGCACCATATACCAATTACGTATGGGCACTAGATTGCAATCAGAAAGTATTATGTCAATTGAATGCGAGTCATCAAAAGTGGATACTAAGTCTATACCTAAAACAGTTCTAAATAAATGAAATAATATACAAATACCAATGTGCAGTGACTAAATACATCAGAATATTTGCATAAGAAAAGCAATATGTGGCAACACTATATGCACTGCCTTATTAGAAATGAAACGGCAATCATCCTCAACACACCGGCCCCAATCATTTTGTTCACAAAATTATTTTAAACAATGAGGATGATTTATCCAACAATCGAACACAATGAAAACATGCAATAAAATAACATACTAAGAACATGAAATGAAACAACATATACAAAAAAAATGACCTGGACCACTGAACATGTTTGGCAATAAAGGACAGAAGCTTAAGCAGCTTCAAGTAGGCAGAGTTTCCTAACATCACGAACTAGATCAGAATTCCTAGTATGAACCTTAACCCTCCTAACCATCCCATCCTTATCGGGAAATACCTCAATCACTCTACCCTTGGGCCAAACGCCGCGCGGAGTATCGTCGCCATACAGAAGCACAATGTCACCCACTTTCAAATTTCTCTCAGGAAAGAGCCATTTCTGTCTCTTTTGCAATAGCGGTAAATACTCCTTTGTCCAGCGATTCCAGAATCGATCAAGACTGAGCTGGACATGTCTCCAATTTTCGCGAAACTCGTCACCGCGCGTAAACTTATCGGAGCAATAGAGGGATCAAGATTTCCAGTCAAAATGGAATTTGGTGTCAGAACCTCCAAATCCCTTGCATCATCACTAATAGGTGTCAATGGGCGATCATTCAGAATTCTTTCTACCCCAGTCAGCATGGAGATGAGCGAAAAATCAGTAAATGTTCGTGATTTAGCACAAATCGCATAAAGAACTCTTTTTGCCTCCCGGACCATTATCTCAACCAAGCCATTCTGGTGAGGTGCTAAAGGCGGTTGAAAATCCCACTGAATTCCATGTTGTGACAGAGAATTTGAAATTTGACTCTGATTCCACTTACAAATCCCCTCAGCAAGAAGTCTCTCACCAGCCACAAAGTTTGTGCCATTATCTGAAATTACATGGGATGGTTTTGAACGCCTATCACAAAATCGAAAAAAGGCCTGCAAAAATGCAGATGCATCAAGTGATTCCGAGACCTCAATATGAACAGCCCTAGTGACTGAACAGGTGAATATGCATCCATTACCGCTTGTATTCCTTACGTCCCAATTTGACTTTCAATGGGCCAAAGTAATCTACAGCAGTGTGATAGAAAGGAGTGCGACCACCCAGAACACGCGACTCTGGCAGAGGAGCCATCCACTGTGAACCAGGTCTACTCGCCCTCAACTTGCACAATTTACAAGCATTCAGCACCTTACGAACTTCCGCCTGTCCACAAAGAATCCAAAATTTTCCCGCACAGAGGAAAGAGTGTGCAATGTACCAGAATGACCATTTTGCCGATGATAATACTCTATTATCAATTTTGTTACATGATGATGAGGTGGTAATATTATTGGATGCTTCTGCTCCGGTGATAAATGTGAGTGTCGAAGACGGCACCCACCCGCAAAATATCATTGTCTAAAAATGGGCTAAGTTTAATGAGAGCCTTAGAATGTGGTGATGTAGGCAACTTACAACCACTGCTCAAGTAGTTTGGTCCGTCATGTACACGCTCACTAAAATATTCGAGCTCTGGAGAAAACGATTCAATTTGGGCCAACTTGCAGATCTGAATAGTTGCTACACTAAGTTCCGTAACAGTTAAATCTCCAGTCATTGGAGAGTCATTTGATCGACAGGTTTTCCACAAAATAAAAAATTTAAAACGCAACATCCATGCAATTGTTCTCGACAATTTTTCCCACGTTGAATAGCGATTTATTAACTCAGGAAAATACTGGGATCTCTTTTGAACTTCAACAAGATTCACCTTAATTTCACAATGTAAATCGGAATTAGTTGGTATGGTATCTGACACTGATGAAGTGCCAGGCCATGAAACACTTTGTTGCCACAAAAAACTCGGACCTTGAAACCATAATTTTGCCTTATCCAGCTTATCTGGCATAAGGCCACGAGAAGCGATGTCTGCTGGATTTTCATTTGTTGGAACATGAGACCACTGCGACACATCAGAGATTGATTGAATAATATTAACCCGATTGGCTACAAAAGTCTTAAAGCGCTGTGATCTACTATTCAACATCTGCAACACAGTCATCGAGTCTGTCCAATAACAAATTTCGTGTATCTCATAGTCTAGTGCATTTGTGACAGAATGAGCAACTTCTGTAGCAACGACTGCCGCCGTCAATTCTAGTCGTGGAATTGTCACTAGCTTCTTGGGGGTAACACGCGCAGTACCCTTTACAAATGCACAGTGAACCTCGCCGGATTCGTTCTCCAACCTAAGGTACGCTACTGCACCGTAGCCCACTCTACTTGCGTCGCAAAAACAGTGAAGCTGCACATTCGCCGCCTCAAATCCTTCCGGTTTGTAGCAACGTTGTATAGTCAACTCCCTCAAACTAGGCAAGGTGCTGATCCATTTCTCCCAACCATCATACAAGTCTCCCTCAACAGGATCATCCCACGAGTAACCCAAAAAACACAAATCCTGCAAAATGCGCTTTGCGGGAATCAAAAACGGTTGAATAAACCCCAATGGATCATATACCTGGCCAAGCATGCTGAGCATGCCACGGCGCGTTGAGGGTCGAAACTCAATTTCCACCCGAACCTTGAAGACATCGTGCACCATGTTCCAATAAATTCCCAGCGTACGTTCAGTCAACTCTGTACTAAAGTCAAGCGCTTTCGTTGCGGTTGAGCGATCCGCCTCGGGAATCGCTTCCATTACTTCAATTTTATTACAAGCAAACTTTGTAAGACAGAACCCACCCGATGCGAGTAATTCGATCAGCTGATTTATCAATTGAAGTGTTTCATTGACGGTACGTTTCGACTTCACACCATCATCAACGAAAAAACTGCGTCGCACTGTCTGTATCGTTTCCAGATCAGCATTCGTTAGATTGTCATCAGCGACACGTTTCAACACAAATGACGCAATCGAAGGACTCGACGTCGCGCCAAAAACATGCGAACACATTCGCAGATCAATAGGTTTCTTTCCCAAGTCGTCATTCGGATACCACAGAAAACGCATCGCATCACGATCTCGACTGTCCAGAATAACACGTAGATACATTTCGCGCACATCACAAATAAAGGCAACCGCTTCCTCGCGAAACCGCAGTAGAATACTCACCAAATTCGTATTTAGGTCTGGACCTGAAAGTAAATTCTTGTTAAGTGAAGTGCCGCCGCACTCCGCACTGCAATCGAAAACAACCCGGAACTTGGCCCCAGTAGAGTGGTGTGGGCATATACCAAGTCCTACCCAGAGACCCAGGATCACCCTCAGGCACTATTTCCGCATACCCCTTGTCTAAGTAATCATTAATTTTGGACTTGTATTTAAAAATAAATCAGGGTCCCTAATGAATTTTCGTTTTTGGGACTCTAATCTTTTCACTGCCATTTGACGATTGTTGGAAGTTTAATATTTTTATCTTTCCATGGAAGAGCAACTTGGTACCCTCCCATTTACTTTTACTGCAGTGTCATTCATCACTACAAGAGCTTTCTTATCATCTAGGGAATGTTCAGTGGTGAAGGGATCACAATCTAAATCTATAAAATCATGACCACAAATTTTGCACAAAAATTGATCAGTATCACATGCACACACAGTATTTAGACGAGGACATGAAACATCACTTACACTTTCACAACTGCTATGAGACATAGTTCTGTCAGGACCGAAAAGAGCCCAACCAAATACTGTCCTGTGAGCAGCGGGAAAATTTTCCTTTTGATCACAAAGCCTAATTTCAGAAATGGGATGATTGGCTAACACTTCAGCACCAATCAATAAATCAACCTCACTAGATCCTAGCACAGGAAATTCCAAATCACCCAAATGAGGATATTTCTGCAACACATTAGCAGTCGGGATAGAACTCTCTAAATTGGGTAAATTAATTGCCAAAACATTGGGAATGTCAACAACCCTTTCCGAATCACAACCTTTTACTTTCAGTGAAACTGTTTTACCACTGTGTAATTTACTACCATTCGCTGTTGCGAGCATACAATCTTCAGGTTTACCCTCAATACCCAATTTTGCAAGTAAATTGTGGGAGCACAAGGATCTGGTAGACCCTTCATCTAAAAAGGCATAAGTACACACAGCATCAGAAGCACCATTGCTGGTAACCTCCACAGGTACAACCTTAAGTCTAACAAAATTTTGAATATTTTTCCGAACAATTAACATTTGCGAAATAAGCACCGGCCCCATTTTCTTTCTTGGGGGCAGACACATTATTTTGAGAATTAGCATTGCTAGAAAAATGAGCACCAGTGGTTGGTGGCTTCTTTTGATCAACATGTAATAAACTGTGATGTAATTTACCACAGCCATTCACTTGACACACATATTTAGAAGGACAATTATTTGCACGATGAGAACGATACAAGCAATTAAAGCAAAGATTATTTCGTCTCATCATTTCGGCGCGATCATTAACACTTCTCCCTTTAAACTCGACACAGTTGTGTAAAGCATGATTTCCTTGACAGTCCACACACTTGTACTGCAAATCAGCTACCTTGGGTCCTGGAGTCTTCTCTTGGGTATTGGTGACTGCATACGATGTAGTTCTTGTCATCCTAGGTTTGGTGACTCGAATAGTTGATTTCTGTTTGGCAGAATTCTTGGTCACAATCCGACCATAAAATGTAGTAGTTAGCTGCGCTTTCTTCACCACGAATGCAACCAAGTGTGAAAATGTAGGAAGTTTACTGTCATCAAAATTGGTCCGCATACTTTCGTTGCAAGTACATGGGCAGACGTGAGAATACACGCTCAAGATTTTCATAGCCATCCATGAATGAATTTGCATTCCACTCACTAAGCACAATCTCACAATTACGCAGTTGAGTGGCCAACTTGCAAAGTCCTTGAGTGTCATCGTCCATAATCTTGGGACCATTTGTTACCTCTTTACTTGTAGCTTCAATTACCACAGTTCGGTTACCAAACTGTTCATGTAAGGTTTGCCACGCCATCTGATAGCCCTTGCTTGGCGGCGACACTAGTACTAAATTCTTGATGGCATCCTTTGCGATGCCAGAACACAATTGAATCAGCTGTGCAAGCTTTGTCTCAGGCGCATGTTGGTGACAATGAATGTTAGTCTCAAATGACTTCATGAAGGCATGGAAACGCAGGGGATTTCCATCAAACTCCATCAGTTCAACTTTGGGCAATGTGAAACCTTCTCGCAGAGCATTAATCATAGCACCATAATCTGGAGGAACAGCACTTGTTGCTGTTTGAAGTGGCAAAGCTGAATTCGGTACCGCCTGATAAATCTCATCACCAACTTGACGATTACCACTTTCGTATGAATTTACTACTGGTTGATGCGCACCAGTAGCAAGTGTTGACACAGATGGTGCAAAACCGCTCTGAACGACACCTCCACTGCCATATGAAATTACTACTGGCTGATGCGCACCAGTAGCATGTGTTAACACAGGTGGTACAGAACCGCAGCTCTGCAGCACTCCTTCTCTTGCATATGAATTTACTACTGGCTGATGCGCACCAGTAGCATGTGTTAACACAGGTGGTACAGAACCGCAGCTCTGCAGCACTCCTTCCCTTGCATATGAATTTACTACTGACTGATGCGCACCAGTAGCATGTGTTAACACAGGTGGTACAGAACCGCAGCTCTGCAGCACTCCTTCACTTGTAATAGGGGAAGATTCCCAAACAACAGTAGATTTTGAAGGCTCACGAACCATATGTGCGTGACCTACATCTGAAGCATATTGTCTTATTGGTAGTTGGTGAACTGTTTCATCAGAAGAAAAATGCAATCTCGTGAGATCCACTGAGTCGCCATGTCTGGACGAAGTCCCTGATGAACTAGCCTTTAGAAGTAGCTCAGCCTTCTTCTTCTTCGCTTCTGTCATTGCTGTTTCTATTTTTTCTCTTAACAATTCTTCTTGAGCTTCAAGAAGCATCAGTTCTGCCTGGAGGCACTTTGATGATGTTGATGAAAGTCTTGTTTTCGCTGAGCTAGATGAATGCGTGGAAGCAACTTCAGAGTATTGTATATTTTTCGCCATAATCCACCGGTAGTCGGGTACCGTGTACTATTTTTAAATGATGATCGGTTTGGTGAATATCTGTGGCACACACTCCCTGACTTCAATCAGCCAGTAGCCTATTTGTTGTGCTAGGAATCCTTCTGATAAGTCAACGATGGGAGCTTGCCTTCTGGGTTTGGATACGCTTAACCTGACTGCCGCTGAAATTCCAATGCACTAAACCAGACACAGTTCCGAATCGAATTTGTTTTATTTTACCACTCAACATAAAGTGCTATTGTGGCCACTCGTGTAAGGTCAGGTGATTTAAAAATAGTTTGGACTGCAACGCATCCAAATCCTACTTAATCAGATATACATATGTAACTAAATACAAAAATAAATACAGTTTTAGGTACAATCCTAATAACTTAATCGCTATTTCAACACATGTCTACATAAAACACAACCCTAAGTTCCCTAAAATACAACCCTAAGTTATTATTAAATCTGCAACAAAAAACGTGCGGCCCTTTTACCAGTGCTGATAAACCAAGAGACTGTCGCAACAACAGGTTGCCACAATATGCACCATATACCAATTACGTATGGGCACTAGATTGCAATCAGAAAGTATTATGTCAATTGAATGCGAGTCATCAAAAGTGGATACTAAGTCTATACCTAAAACAGTTCTAAATAAATGAAATAATATACAAATACCAATGTGCAGTGACTAAATACATCAGAATATTTGCATAAGAAAAGCAATATGTGGCAACACTATATGCACTGCCTTATTAGAAATGAAACGGCAATCATCCTCAACACATTGTGTGGGATTTTTTCAGAAATCTCGTTTATCCAAAGATACTGAAGTCATTTTCAACAGCATTTCTGCAGTCTGTTTCCTCCCACGATCGCAAAACCTTGTTACGTCGGAATTTGCAACTCCTAATTTTCCAGAATGTCGAATCTAGATTCTGGACAAGAAAGGGAAGTTGCTGAACTCATTTCTGACAGAAGGTAGTAATAAAAGATTCCAAAAGTTAATTTGGGCAACTCGCCTCCAAGTATTTACCGCATACAACTTATCTACGTAATAATCAAGTGTATGGTTGGTCCAAGAACAAATACAAGATGCTCTCTATTCTGTTGAAAAATTGAATATTTTTTATATTTTTGCATACTGGCACTTTTGACGAGCATGGAGTCTTTCATAATTTTAACCGGAAACAGATTAATTTTGTTGCTGTCGAGTATTCTAAATACATTGGAATATCATTACATTGGGACTGAATATTATGTCGTCGCAGGTTGGAAATCACCAGTGTTTCCCAACCTATAGGTCGCGTCCCTGAGATGAGTCGCGTTAAAAAATTTAGGGCCCTTGGTTATTTCAACAAAAACCTAAAAATATTTATTTTTCATTGTTAATAAATTTTATTGTTTAGTTTGTATGCAGTATTTAAATGTTGCCCGATAGTGATTTATATGGAAGAAGCATCACGACGTAAAAACTTCAAAGTATTTATTTTGATGCAAACAAATTAATTCGAAATAATAAAATAAATAATACAAAAATAAATGTTATGTAGGATTGTTTTTGTGTTTTTGTATTAAGAATTCCACTTTGTGGCCATAGAATAAATATATGCCGTTTAGTACTTGGGCATATCCTTGGGTCGCGGGATTTTACAAAATTCGTCTTGTACAAAATATATGGGTCGCTTGACAAAAAGGGTAGGAACCCTTGTCTTAAACAACAAATGTAGCAACATCCCCCAGAGAGTAATAGATGGATAAAGTATACAGAACCAAAAACAATATTGTTCTTCTAAGAACATTGAAGATCGTCACGGGTTCCATGCTCAGGGCATTGCTCTGATCTACGCCAAAACATTACTGCATTTTCGACCAGTTTGTAGTCTAATCACTATCTTTATCGAGGAGAGCTAAGTAATACGGAAGCCCAGCCAATTTTTCAAAATAACAACTTAGTAATTATCCAATTGGAGTTAGGAATGATTTGAAACTTTGAAT